AATACTAAAATGTAAGAATCAAAACTTTTATATATTTAGAAGAAAGTATATAGAGAACTTTTTAAAACAAAGAATTAATATGTGGAAAATATTAGGAGCTCATGATATGAAAAACCTTTTATTTTCTTGGTGACTCTGTCATTTTTGGAAAAAGTCTTTGTTATGAAAAGCATATTTAGGGGAGAACTTGAGTCTCTACTATGTGGGCATTAGAGGATAATGTCAAGAGATGTCAAAGGAAAAAGGACATCGTTGTACAAAATAGAATGCCTGGGAGTTAGATGTGGAGGGTGGTGATGGGTCCAGACTCCTGGAAGGAAGGAATGTGGAAAGAGGCAGGAGAAGTAAATTAAGATTATAGTGAGGACGCTCACTTGTCTGGAAATCTATGGATTGCAAATAACTAGGGCAAATCTGTGATGTTTGGAATAAAAATTTCCAATGGAAGTAAGAAAACTTTTAAGCCTTTTTGAGTCATCTAATGCAATAAATAATTTTTATCCTTAGAATGGTCTAGAAGAATTAATATGAATTTGGAGTCAGCGTCCTTTGCCATTTCCTGTGAAAACTTAGCACTCTTTAGCAAATATAGACCTCTCTCAGGTTGCATTAGGACCTGAGAATCCAAGAAAAAGTTTGGATCAAACTGTTTCTAAATCTCTTCAGCTCTAAAACGCTTTTATATGATAATCTAGAGTGAGGGGAAAAAGTCAAAGTATCACATGATATATAATTTTTTTATCTGTTCATATCTGCTTCTTCCTGTGAGTCCACTTTATTCTTTCAATCTGCACTAATTGCCTCTTCATACGTGTTTCCTCTAATGATATAGTCTTTCATCCTTACCTTGATGCTCCATGGCTCCTCATTCAGTCCATAGCCATCAGCAGAACAGGGATCAAGGAATAAATGAACCATGTGGGCCTATCTAAGGAGATTCCATAAGGGTGTGATCAGATTTTAGAACCTTGCTACACAAAGTGTGGTCCACTGATTAAAAGCATCAGCATCCTCTGAAAGCATATTAGAGATGCCGAATCTTGTCCCCTCCCTACGGAATCAGCATCTGCATTTTAAAAAGATTGCCTAGTCATTGTTATGAACGTTGATGTTTGATTGGCACTTAGAAATTTCATTCTGGTAAGATGACAAAAGATGGATTTGGGAAGCAAAAGCCTGGAGACAAAAGGTTCCCTATTCATTCTTTTAATTCTTTCTGTGATATTCAGAGTAAAACAAAAACATATAGTATGAGCTAAAATAAATAAATTGTTAAAGAGTTGGAAAATAGTTCTTCACTCTTCTGGAGGTTAAAGCTTAAATTAGAGCAGTTAGAGGTTTTACCATAGCATATATTTGAGTCCAAACAGGCATTAAGGACCACAGAGGGTACTATTTTGTTTACTTCAACAAAGAATTAAAGCCTCTTAGTTTATCAATTCAGGAAGCTGACTAACTGGGATTATACTCTTTAAAGTACTTCCAAAACAGTGATTGAAATCACTTGGTATTTTCAAGTTCCAAGAGGGAGTCAATAGTCAATTGCTAACCAAAGACACCTGAACGTAGAATTTTTATTGCCTGCTCTGATCTGGTGTTCTTGTTAACAGAATCCCTTTTTTCTTCTTTCTAAGCCACTGGGCAGACAATCCTTTTCATGGTTTAACTTCTTAAATCAATGCAATCAATTTTTGTAGAGCCCATTTGGATTCTTTCAGCTTTCTAAAATTGAATCATAGGGCTCCTAGGATATACCATTCTTCTGTAAAGACACTTTCTACATACTTATAACTCAAAATACCAATCAGCATCTCACACTCTCCTCCAGGAAAGTCTCTCACTCTGGGAACTCTGAATTGTGTGAGACATACAATAGTGAACACCTGGAAAGGTACACTTTTTGTTGGTTGCTTTGAGAGCAAATTGCTTCTACTGCAGCCTAAAGTTATGGCAAATTCTGTCCAAAAAGGATTTTACAAATAGAGTCAGATCCCAGCAGACCACCGAAGGCAGAGAGAATGTCATTTAGCCATGCCTAGAAGACCTTGGGCTTAAAAGTAAAGTCAGGTATCTGCAATACCTACCAATTTCAAAACTACCATCAATAACTCCCACCAGTGAAGAAGGGATATCAAACCTTCTCTCTATCTGAGTGATGGTGCTCTTCAGATAGCCTTCTGCCAATGCTTTGGCAAAATAAACGAAAGACAAGGCACCCAGGAACAGCTGGAAAATATGACGGGTCACACTTAGTCTGACTGCAGCTTGGCACACAATTGGAAACTTGCTAAGCAAACAGACAAATAAAAATACAAACTAAGAACAATGTATAATATCAAGTTTGATAACATTGAAAATTTAATTCAAGCATCACTACAGGTTTCCTTCAGCCTCAAGCAGATATAGACTTCCAAAAATTCAAATTCTCTCGGAATTTGAAATGTATGTTGATTTTCATTGAAAATGTATGCTGAGTTCCTTTCTGTACCTTTCTCCCACCATTCCCAAAAGGACACTCAAAGTGGTCTTGCTTTGAAAATAAGATTGAGTGTATGGTAGGTAGGTAAAGAGATGAAAGAGCCATTCACAGGTAAGAAAACAAATGACAACCATAAGCCAAATGCTTGACATGTTATCACAAGTCTTAGCGTTTGTGGTTACGTACTTCACAGAGATGGTGCATGCACCAGCAGAGAACATGATACATAGACTGAAAAAGTGGAACTACTACTCCTTGTGTTTAAGTTTATACTTATTAAATTCATACTCAAATTCTTTCTTAGTGAAAAGCATTTCTTTGATATCTGGCTTATGTATTTTGCTAGACATGGGTCTGTGATGCAGCATTTATACGGCAGGTTAGCATTTATACAAAAAAACACATAAATATTTGTTGAGCGACTATGTGGTATAAAGAAAGAGTAGGAGTCACATAGAGCACCATGAAAAGGAACTCTGCCCTGCACTGAGTAACGTTATTCCCATTTTGTATTTACTTTTATTTATAAAATGGGAACGATGTGGGTGTTTAATATTAAATGTTATACCTGTGCTTGGCACAATATCTGGTAGAAGTTTAATAAATATTAGTTTCTACTCTCTCTCTCCTTTCTGTTTAGGGAGGGCATTCAGATGAGCCCAGGGAAGTAATTTAAACTACATGGTCAGGCAGAGTTTCCTTGCATCACTTGGCAAAGTGTGGTCTTAGTAAATTGCATTTAAGATCACTTTGTAAAAGGGAAAAAAATTCTCTCTGTAACTTCATCATATAGAAGATACCTGGATAGAAAGCCAAGAACATCAACTCCACCTAATTCTTTGTTACACTACCTTCAGTTCACCACAGCAGGGTTGTTTTTCCTTTGAGGAGGGATATTCTGTTTTTAAGGAAGACCTTCCAACAGGTTGCACTGAATTTTTGCAGAATAACTGGATATTTTCTTTGGATGAAGTGTCCATTGTAAAAGTATTCCTTGACTCTGATCTGTCAAAGTTGATTTTAAAAGTAAAAAAAAAAAAAATGAATTCAATACTATGCAATTTATTAAATAATATTTTATTCAATACTAGACCTCAATTCTACAGATTTAATTTAAAGTGAAGCTAGCTTTTGTTACAAGAGTAAGTTGGCAACATTTTTCAATTAAAATCAACCAGAATATTTGATTAACTAATCCTGCTATTGGGACTCTGTAGCCAGCATTCTTTCTCAATCCCTCCAGTTTAAGCCTCTTTATGGCAAAGAACAAATTTAAATGTTGCCTTTGGAATAAATAACAAGGCAGAATTTTGCTAACTTGGTGGTCTTGCCAGTTTAAACTAGGAGAAAGCAGGAAAAGAAGAAAAGGAATTCAACCATGTGAATATTGATTCATTAGAATTAAGTCTTTTATTAAAGCCTTTAAATCTATCTTCCTAGCAGAACAAATAGAAAAGGTTGATACCTGTCATAGATCTCGATAGCACCTTAAGATTCCTGCAGCACCCAAAGCAAGGCTCAAAATATGGCAAAAAGGAAGAGGTCCAATTCATATTTTTTAGTTTGAAAAATAGAAAGCACTGTGATGTTGTACCTCAGGCTTAGATTTAATTCAGGTGAAAGGATAGTCTTTTGTCTGCCTTAAATAAAAAGTGATGACCTTCCTTCCTATGCTTAATTTCCCACCTCCCCTCACTCTTGTCCTGAACAAACCCTGGACAGTATCACACACTGAACCTATTTTCTCCCTTTTCACATCAAAATTTACATATCCTGTGCTCCTTCTTCTTTAGAATTACACACGGTTCAGTGCCTGCTTGCTTGATAATCTAATCTAAATCAAGGAAGTCAAAAAATAAAATGACTTCTGGATCTCCCTAATAATATTAGATGACACAATTGTATGTTAATAGAGATCTTGTGTACTCACATTACACTAACTAAAGGAATGGCATTAGGAGTAAAATTTCATGTATTGTGGTAGGAATTTTGGCTTATTCTGCCTCTGTGTATATCATCTTGACTTTAAGCAATGCTTGTTTTATGTTTACTTCAACCTTCATAGTCTGAATTCGTAGATAATATCTCAAACTGAAAAATCAAAAGTAGAGCAGATTCTTCCAGGTAGTGGGACATGAGTAGAGAAAGGGCAGGGCAAAGGCTTGTTAAAAAATTATTATTACGTTTGTAGTGTGTTTGATTCCATAAACATGCATAACTTTAATTTTTAAAAAAATGGACAAAGGAAAGAAAACTGAGTGAAACAAAAAAAATTTAAAAATCAAAAAGACAAAACAAGAGCTTATAATGCTAGTCAAGGCTAAAAGAAAAAGATACAAGGATATAATATTAATGAGATAAAGACAGAGACGTTTAGGAGTATAAAACATAAAAATTATGTACAATATGTAGAAATAATTTTAAAATCTTGAAAAAATGGATACGTTTCTAGCAAATATTAATTACTTGCTTTGGCACCAACCAGAAGAGAAAAATAGCCAAGGAAGACATTATCAAAAATATTCAACTATCCCTTAAACAAAGACACTCAGGATTGAGGATGCAACAGGAGTGACTTTATCAAGGGTTATTCTTCAAGGAAAGACAGCAGATAATGGAAACAGATGATCATTGTCTCCATTCATTGGACAAAATTAAAATTATCTTGGTAGCAAGATCTCATAAAGGGAAATTTCAGATCAGACTCATAGATTGTAAAATTCTAAATAAAATACTAGCAAATCCAAATTAATTAACTAATATTCTGTAATTAGTATTATCCTGAAAGATGCAATAATTAATAGTAGGAAGGTTATTTATCTAAGTTATCACAGGAAGAACTCAAAATTAAAAAGAATAAAATCTCAGTAAATGAAAAAATCAGGTGATAAAATTCAACATCCATTCCTACTTTTAAAAAAATTCTAAGAAACTAAGAATACAGAGATTCTTCTTTATCAGTGTCTGATACCAACAGCAAACTTCATACACGCATTGAATCACTAAGACTGCTTTTCCAGAACAACAAAAAGAGAGTTTGGGTTTGGGAAACACTGGGTTATACAATGTTAAGTAGGTTTCTTTACTGTAAAACTGCTGAGTACCTTTAATTGAACTTGTAGAGAGACCCATTGCCTATAATGGAAAAAAAATTCAAAACAACCAAATGACCTAAATGTCTTTTATGCAATGAAATTTTTTTAAGCCATTGGAGATTAATGTAAAGAAGTAAATATAGTTATATAGATCTACATTCATTATTAGATTGATTTTTAAAATACATGCTACAAAACAGAATATGTAATAAACTATTTTATGAAAGCAACACACATATTGACATACTTATATGCACAGAAACAAAGCTTCAGAAAGTTTATAAACAAAAGGTTGGCACATTATTTCTGGTTGATGGCATTGCAGATGATTTTTCAAAAAATGCTCTGTGTATCCATATTTTCCAATTTTTCTACAATGAACATGTATTTGTTATATAAAAAGATTTTAAAATATTAAAAATATCACCAAGCAAAGAATATATAAAATGGAAACATTTTAAAAGACAAAATATTAAAATGCAAAACTTAAAATGCAACTTTCTTCTGAGAAATTAAACTATGTAATTCAAATTGGCCTTCTGTTTTAAAGGTCTAGATATGATATTATTTTCTATCAGCAATAATAATATTAAAGCTGGTACCAGAAAATGCAAATAAATTGTTTAATAATAAAATATGCTATCACTTATGCTAAATTTATCATTAATAGATTCAAAGGGTTACATCTAAAATGTTACTGCTAAAGTGTAAAACAATCATGTTGAAAACAATATTTAAAAACTTATGACCCTAAAACACATTGTAAGTCTCCTTGTATTTGGAGGCGTTGATACAAAAATCACTCTAACCAGAATTCAGAAACAATAACAAAAGGGAAATATAGTCATCTTAATTAATGTTTTGTCAGGGCAAAATAACAACTAGCTTAAAATATTGGCACTGCATAGTTTTGCTGCAGACATAACTTCATCTTGATGGCTAATATGCAAATCATGGTAAGTACAGTATGTTCCAAGGAGGCTACAGTTCATCCCCGGTGAAAAGAGATGGAAGGAAACTCAGTGACATGAATGGAAAGATCCTTGGGGCATGCAGGCTCTCTCTCTTCGTTTGTAACTGCAGAAGTAGAGCAAGCAGGACACAGTTATTCAGAAGGATTTGCATTTGGCAAATCCTTAATTGATCTCCAGCCACTTGAATAGATTCTTCCAGAAGAAAACATATGGCAAAGTTTTCATCCAATACCCTGGGTTAGAGTCTAACTTATTCTGAAGGCCAAAGAAAAACAAGCCAAGCAGTTTTTCTTCATTTTAGTTTGAAAAAAATGGAATTTTCTGTTCATATGGGTTTGAAAATCAGCCCTGCAGATTTTAAATGTAGGGCACAGGTGGCTTAGGAAGGTTGTAGCTGGATCACACAGATGCACTCAACCCTGGGGCTCTGAAACAGAGACCCAGACTTTATCCAGCGGCCAGCTTCCAAGGACTGCACAGAGGCCCTAAAGGCAGCCACTCCCCTCTCTCTTCTCTCAGCCATCTCTCAGGAGGAAAACCTCTGCCCCGGGTTGGCTTCTGGACACCAGAATCCCTCCTTTCAGATGGTCTAAAAAATAACCTCCCGGTACTTGCTGAAGAGGGGTGTGTGTTGTTTACAGACTAATCCTCTCCCATACAAATTATCAATTGTGTGAGATTCAAATTTAATAATAAGTACTATTTTTGTGCCAGGGGATGTATGTACTTTTTCTAGCCTTTAAAACAACCCAACAAGTTTAGTATTATAATTTCCATTTTTTAAAATGATACGACTCAGAGCAGTTAAGTGACTTGTCAAAAGCTATCAACTAACAAGCATCAGAGTCAAAACTTGAACTCAGATTTGAATTTGTCTGCCTTTTTAACCAATGTCCTCTCCTATTGCCATCAGACTAACAAGGGGCCCATCAATTTTCATTGAGAATGCCTATGAACAGAACACAAATAGTGCAGAAATGAAGGGTTCTTTTCTCCTGTGGGAATCTGATGTCCTACTCACAAAATACAAAAGAAGAGAACAAAATCTTACCTGGAGGTGGAGATCAAAGACAACTAGTTCCTCCCAATCTGTTCAGCAAGAGGCTGGACCATACGCCACAGGCTGCAAGGGGAAACCGAGGTAAATTCCACAGCAATTTTGAACAGTTTTGCCAGGTGGGGAGAGCTTGGGTGGACACAGACAGAGAGGATTAAGGGAAAGCAAAGATGAAGGGCATGGTCTCACCCTGGGCAATCTCTTCTCTTTCGTCTTTCCTCCTGGCCTCTTTTTTCTGGCAGTCTGCAGAGAATTGGCCAGGCTGGCAAGGCCACTGACGCGCATCTCAGCTCCCAGGGCACAGAAAGAGCTGAAGCCTTTGAGCCATTTCCTTGCAATTTGCTGCAAGTTTAAGGCCACACGTGATAAAGCTTTCTTTATGGGAGAGAGTGAAAAAAGAAAAGACCACTTGTGATCTTACTTGCTGATTCCCAGAAAACACAACTCTGCAGGGGGCAGAGGGTAAGGGAACAGAAGCCAGAGGAGGGACGGAAGTTTGTAACAAAGACTTCTCCTTCTCCTTCCAAAAAGTTTTTAAGCCAGCCATTCCTTAGGGACATCACTGGGATCCTTGTGTCTTGTTTGTTTGTTTGTTTTTTTGTTTTGTTTTTTAAAGGCTCTTGGGCTAAATCACAGCATGGTTTCCTTTACCATTGGGATTCTAGAATCTTCAGGGACCACATATCAGGTCAGGATCAAAGCACTGCAGGGCTCTCTACAGAAAGTTAATTCACGGAGGCATGATCGATCAGTTACTCATATCCACAATTTCTCTGAGTCTTGAAAACAGAAAAAAAAAAGAAAACAGGTTGAATTTTTGACATTCAGTTATTTATTCTACCTAATTCTGAGGAAAAATAAATCCTTGCACTGAGAAATTCTATAATTCTAATAAATTCTTTCTCCAAGAGAATGATTTTAGAGGATTTTGAGCAGTATTAGTTTGCATTTGGTTTCTACCAATAAATGAATTTGCTACCAGAATTATCCCTATTCTTAAATGGCTGAGACTCTGGGCTGGTCATTCAATTTTACTGAGTCTTGACTTCTTCCTTTATAAAGCAGAAGTGTTGTTGAAAATATTAAACAGATTTACAGGATTGTTTTAAGGGTTAAATTATATCGTATTCAAAATCACATTGCAAATAAAGCACTAAATGACTGGAAGGCATCATCATTACATATATAATTTTAGTTCACATAATGGGATGGCTAATGACTATTATTAAAAGCACATTTTACTACAAAAGAAAAAATGAGGATGTAAGGAAAATAGAGTATATCTTAAACCTTACAATGAAGCAATGGTATATCCAGGCTCTGAAAGACCAAATATTTTATCTTAGCAATCAAACCAGCCTTTGCCATCAGAAACAGTGAACAAACATCTTAATCTTGTGTTAGACTTTTCAGTCTAACGGGTGGCCATTGGTGTTTTAAAGGGGAGATAGTATTTGACAGCCAAAACCACAAAGGGCCTGCTTTTCCTCACGAAGAAATGCAATTCTCCCCTGAGAAAGTAATTTGGTCTTTTCCCAACGTGCTCAAATTCACTCTCTAACATGATTCCTTTTCTTACTTCAGTAGTCTACAGTCAATGTTACTATTCTGAATGTGCATAATGCTGATTTGATGCAATATTCAGAGGCTCTTATGTATACCCTTGCATTGGATTGTAGCCTACCTCAGCCTCTCATTCCCACTTTCATACTCTAGACCAGGGTTAAAAACTTTTTCTATAAAGCAACGAATAATAAATATTTCAGGTTTTGCGGAGCTGTACAGTTTCTATCACAGCCACTCAACCCTGCCATCGTAGTGTGTAATTAAGCACAGACAATACATTTTAATATAAACGAATGCATTTTCTAGGATTAGAGTAACAAAGCACCACAAGCTGTGTGGCTTAAAACAACAGCATTTTGTTGTGTTATAATTTTGGATGCCGGAAGTCCAGCGTTAAGGTGTTGGCAGAACAATGCTCCCTCTGAAACCTGTAGCAGAGAATCCTTCCTTGCTTCTTCTACCTTCTGGTGTTTGCTGACAAACTTCGGAATTCCTTGTTTTATAGATGCATCACTTCAATCTTTGCCTTGGTTATCACATGGCCATCTTCTCCCTGTGTGTCTCTGTCTTCTATTCTTAAAAGGACACTAGTCCTATTTATTTAGGGCCCATCCTAATGATCTCATCTTAACATCATTATATCTGCAAAGACCCTATTTCCAGAAAAGGTCACATTCACAGGTACAGGGGGTTAGGACTTGAACATATCTTTTTGGAGGACACAGTTCAACCCATAACACTCATATTCTCATTCCCCTCTTAAGTTGTTTCATGCAATCAGTTTAATCCCTCGCTCCTGTATACTCTCAATTTCCCTCTTCCTCTTTCAATTTGTTGTTCTTCCCTGGCAAACCTCACCTGGGTTGCATCCAGCTTTCTGTCTATTTATTGTTTGCAGTCACACTGTTTTCAGTGGTTGGAGAACAACTCACTAACATGCCCCCAGGGCTTATTTTATAACTACTAACTTCACTGGGCCATGGAAGTATTGTTAGACATAATACCTTTTAATGACCGAATCACTTTATCTGTCTCCTGAATCATTTCTCAAATCTTCTTTTCTTTCCATACTCTCATTATTAGCTGACAACCTTGTTTAGGGAATTAGCCAATGAAATGAAAAAAATCAGGAGGACTATCGCAACCTGCCATCATGACAGCTACTCTCTCTCCATGTATATGTTTGTTCATATTGTCTGTGGTCCTTCCTGCTTCTGTGAATGAACAGTTCATGCTTCTAAACCCAAGTTTTCATCTATATTCCTTATTTAAATTCCTCTCTTCTAATTCTTTTTTCACCAGCTCTAATCAGTTTTTGCCTCTACCACTCCACTGCAACTATTTTCATCAATAACATCAAAGATATCCACATTAACAAATGCAGTATCAACATCCAGACCTCATTTTAATTGATCTATTAGCAGAATTGTATACCTTTCATGTACCTTTCTCTTTAATACATTTTCTTCACTTGGTTTTCAGAACACCACACTCCCTTGGTTTTCATCCCACCTTGGTGGTCCTTTCTTCTTAGTCTTCATTGCTGGAGTACCCCACTATTTGGTCCTTGGAATATCTTCTTTGCTCTGTCCATACTTACTCTCTTAATGATCTCATCTGGTCTTATGGCTTTAAATATCATCTATAATATCAGATCTTTGAGACGAAGGAAAGTTTTGTAGACCCAAATTTGAATTAAGAGTTTTTCAGTCTGGAAAAAAAATCTGTATCTGTCTGTCTGTCTATATCTATCTATCTATCAGTATCTATCATCGGTCTATATCCTACCTCTCTCCACTAAAAAGATCTAGATATAATGACCAACTAAGTAGAAATGAGTTCAACTAGCACTGAATTTGCATCTTATAAATACCATAAATAAAGGAACCATGGCTCCTTGTTATGTGACTGATACCAGGTCTGGGGATATAAGATGGGCCTGAAATATCTCATCATAGAAAACAGCTAGGAGTCCTTGGAGACTAGAATGTGCCAGTAGGACCCAGGAGCCAACCTGAACAAGCTCCTTCTGGTCAAATATAGGAAAATGTGAGCATTAATAAGAATAACAACTATAATGATTGAAATATAAAAAATGTTAAAATTCATGATTTAATAATAACACTATAAAAACACCTCACGGTCACTTTGGATGATTCTAAGTAACACCTTCAATATATTTAAAACTTGTGGTACTTAGAGAAAAATTGTGCATTTATCCTATCTTTCCTATTCAATATGTTCATTAGAATTATTAAAAAAGACAAATTTCTATCTATAGAAGAATTCTAACTAATAAATAAAAAAGGATGAGATAATTAGAATATCATAATTTTCAAACTCTGAATGAATCAAAGAATCTAGATAATGGTTATCGATGGCCAATAATATCACACACACACTGAAAAACCAGACCCATCAATTTTGAACAACCTGATGGAAGTTAAAAGCTTGAAACACTACCTTTGACATCATCTTCCTTTTTATTTCTAAGCAAAATTAAGCTTATCAAACCTCAGATTATATTTAAATACCAGTCCATAAGAAATAGAGGGAAGAGAAGAACATGTTAAATGACACAAGAACATGTTAAGTGATGCAATCAGCACAATCAAAAGTGAAGAATCTCATTAGGACAAACAACCCAGTTTTTTTTTTTCCAACCAAAAAGTGCAAGTAAACAATGAGATGGGGGAGAAATTATATATTAAAACTTAAGAAATGAATCGGCCAATTACAATATGTGGAGCTAGTTTGTACCCATATTCAAAAAGAAATAAATTGTAACAAGAAGATTTTATAATCTTCTAGAAAGATTTATAACTTCAGAAATATGAACACTGTGTGGATATTTGTTACACTGAGGAATTTGTGTTAGTTTTCTAAGAGATGATAATGGTGCTGCTGTTGTTCAAGGGCACAAATCTTTTAGAGGTAAATACAATTTTTTACACATTACTTACAAGTAAAAGGATAAGTTTTGTTGTATATTTTCAAAATAATTTGGGGGAGAATTCCTGAAAGTTTGGGGGTATATATAGAATAGATTGGCCATATAATAATTGTTTGAGCTGGAGATAGGTAACTGGTGTCACTATACTGTTTTCTCCAAAGTGAATGTATTTGAAAATTTTCACAATTGAGTTTTAAATAAATGACAGATATATAGATACATAGATAGATAAAAATATCAGTGAATAAATTGCAAATTCATTTTCATAATCTGTTACAAAGTCAAAATTGATATCTATAACTTTTATTTACTATTATCCCTTCTATGTGTTCTTTGCTCTAAGTTAAGACTTCAGTTGGTTGAGGTTTTTTACTGATGGGATAACCTAAAACTTCATTCTTGCAGAGTCAAGCTCCTTAGTGGTCCTGCTTTTATTGGGTTGTTCTAGTTTCCCATTACACATAACTATTTAACATAGAAGTACTAAGAGGCTCCACAGAAAATTCTTTGTGTTCCAAACACAATGTTTCTTGCCACAATTTTGTATCAGAAACCATATATCAGCTTGATAAATTGGGTTCAATCACTTCCAGCATAATGGAACAATTGTGTATTCCGGTAAATGTATACCTCTATTGGAAGCTATTGCCTC